GTTTATTTATGTTAATTATGTTAATTATGTTTAGATACAAAGCAGACTTAATGAAGATGAAACCAAAAGATAATAAAAATAATTTTGAAAAGAAAGTAACAGAATCATGCGGTGATATTAAAAATGAAGAAGATTATAAGGATTCTGAAGATGAAAAGGAAAGTGATACTGAGTTTCCTGAAAATAATTTAGGAGATGAATACAATGATTCAACAGAAGCAGATGTATGTAAACCTGATGTCTTATGTGTTTTTAGTTTGGTTTTATTTTTATATTTAAATGTTCAAAAGTATATAAAAAAGTTTTTAAATTTTTAATCAGTTTTATATATCAGTTTAGATCTCTTTTTATAGAGTTTTACAGAGATTTTGATAGAAGTTTAGGTTGAAACTTAAACAAAAAGTCACGCTCTACTGAATCATATTTGTTATTGCTAGACAAACTCAAATATAAAGTTATTTTTAACTTTAAAGATTTTCCATATACTTTTGTTTTTATTGATTTTTCTTTCTTAATCAAAGTGTTAAAAAGTTAGTTAAAAAAGTTTTTGTTTTAACTTGCATTTAATGGGAGTTTATAAAAAATGTGTCCACATTTTTTTAACGATCCTTTATATTTGGTTCAAAATTATTCTGAAAAAACTTAAATAGCAGTAATTCACCGACCCTCATTAAATTTAGCTTTATTTCAAATCTGTACCATGTTCAGTTGTTAAATTAGCTGAAAATTTAATAGAAGGCTCTAATAATTTTTTTGCGAAAAAATCTTTTATTTATTCAACATTAGTTTTATTGTTTTTATTTTAGAATTAATTTGCATATTGTTTGCTCTCTTAGGTGGACTAGTTCAGAAGTTTAGACTTTTTTTTCTTTTGTTAGAGTGTCGAGTTTTTTTTGGTAGATTGTTTTTCATTAACCATGGAAAAATGTGAAAGAGAAAATATAGAAGAGGTGAACTACAGTCTAGTTAGTTTGTAAAAAAGATGCTAAAATTAATGGTTAAAATAATTGTTATGTTTTTCTTTCAAGACTAGCAATTTATCTACTGTGGAAGATATAGAAAAAAAAGTCAAACAAGTAGAGCAAGTAGGTTAATTATTTGTTATAAGGATTCTGAGACTATGGGCTAAAAATCTTATATATATATATATATATATATATATATATATATATATATATATATATATATATATATATATATATATATATATATATATATATGTGTGTATTTATATATATATATATATATATATATATATATATATATATGTGTGTATTTATATATATATATATATATATATATATATATATATATATATATATATATATATATATATATATATATATATATATATATATGTGTGTATTTATATATATATATATATATATATATATATATATATATATATATATATATATATATATATTATATATATTTCATATATTTATATAAAATAGTAGAAAATCACTGATCAAAAAATTTTTCATCTTTTCATGAAAAAAAAATTTTCAAATGATTTTCTAATAATTTATAATTGTTCTGTTCTTTTAAGAACATTGAGCACTCTAGTTTGTAAAACACATTTTAAAACCCTCAGAATTTTTGATTTGATGTGACAGCTTTAACTGAACAAACTGATTGTTTTGCAACTTTAATATCACGAGTTGAATTCTACTGTTCTATTTGTTTGAAAAGGCAGTTAGTATTCACTTCCAAAATGTCAAAAAAATTAATGAGGATAAATAACAAAATGTCAAAATTTGAGGTCCACAAATAGTGATTTAAACTCCAACTTTAAATCACTATTTTTTTTTTTTTTTGTGAAAAATTTTTGAGACTTAGCTTCCCTGATATTGTTGAGGTTAAGTAATCTTTTTAAGACTGGCTTACCAAGTAAAAGATTTCTGGTATTAGATTCAAAATTAATTGATTAACTATCTTTTCAATAGGTGGATTGGCCTGGTCAAACTTTCTAGTTTTTAACTGGTCAAAGTTTCTAATTTTTTAATTAGGAATGCAAAGAAATTCTTCAATTAAAATTTTTTCAGAGCAATTAAATACCCAAACCGTTCTTACAAACAAAATTCCATTGCTAAAACATAAAAACACAAAAATTTTACCCCCAAGTTTTGACAAAATTAAATTGCTGCATAATCGATGAACGACAAAACACATAAAATGTAACTATAGTCAACTGCCTGGTGACAAATTTTTTACTTGCAACAAGTATAATACAAACTTGTGGACAAATTTGGAAAAAATTGTTTTCAAGGTAAGCATTTTGTTGCAGAAAAAAGAGAAAAACTTTTGTGATGTCACCAACTTTGACATCAGAAATTCAAGTTTATATTCTAGAAACATGTACTCAAGTTTTTAAAAGCAATTTTTCCCACTCATTTGATCGCATGATAAACTTTGTTTGTTTTGGCGTGATACCACTTTAAAGTTTCCTTAGCTTTGTGCCACTAGACTAGGGAAACTTTAGAGTGGTATTAATTGAGAAAGGATTAGTTTTATACCAAAAAAACTTAATCCACTAAATAGCCCACAATTCCAGACCATTAAAAAATATTGGGCAAAAAATATTTGCATAAAACAGACAAGACTATTAATTCAGTACAAGACTTGCTGAAGGCATGGTAAACCATAGCACCATCACCAGTAATATGCGATTATTTTTTAGAAGTTGAGAAAAATTTTTAAAATGCTAAAGGTGTTTTTATACCCTTTAATTTCTTAACTTAAAAAATTTTTAAAAAAAGACGGTTCTTTTTCTTTTTCATTTTTTTCAACCTCACATGCTGAATGTGTATTCAGATCGCCAATTTGTTTTTAAAATGCAAGAAGTGTAACACTTCTTAACAAGGCCTGTATATATATCAGCCCTTGGCATTAAAAAAACAAGGTCAGCTATAAATTGCCAACCTTAAACAGTTTTGGTCAGCATCAGATCAGCACAAAATTTTTTAATACAAAATTTTCACCATAATAAAATAGAATTAAGGTTGACATAAATTGCTGACCTACTGATAGGTAAGTATTTAGTTTGTCCAAATGGCAACCATAATATCAAAGGCTGATATATATTACTCTTTTTTTCTGTTTTTTTTTTTTTTTTTTAGTTTTAAATTAAATATATACTAACAGTTAACATATATATTACTCTTTTTTTCTGTTTTTTTTTTTTTTTTTTTAGTTTTAAATTAAATATATACTAACAGTTTAAAAGTTAATTTATATTTAGTTCATGAATCTTTTTTATCAACTCTATATTTACTTTTAGAAACATTTTGAATGTCGTAACAAGTTATTACGGGCATCCCATAATATTAGAGGCATACATTTAGGTCAAGATAGATACAAGCGTCGTTATTTTGTTTTACCAAATGCTGGTGGTGTTTATGTGGAAGGTTTAGAAAGTGGATATTTTGATGAAAGTTTAACAAAAAGTATAATAAAAGAAGATAGTACAGATGCTAAGCCCTTAAACCTTTTTTCTTTTAAAACTGAAAATATTTTAAGCAATTCTTCTGATTCACAACAAGCAGCTTCAATACCATCAAGGAACCAGCCAGATGTTGTTAAATCAGAACGTTTTGACAATTTTGTTTGGTTTTCTATTGCCAAAAAAAGAACTTGCAGTGATGGAATAAAATCTGTTGTCAGTAAAAACTTTAATAATACAAAAACCATAATAGCTCCTTCTGTTGTACAATTGGGCCAGGATAAAAAATTTCTTGAATCTATATATGGAAATAATGGTACCCCTAATTCATTTTTACCTGAATCTCAATCATCGCAGTGTGTTTCAAAATTATTACTTGATTTACCTAAAAGTATGGACATGAATAATATTATAGAAAATAAAAAAAAAGTAACAGAACTTTTAGAAATTCAGAATGTTGTTACTCAAGAAATTCCGACTGAAATGAAAAATGGTTGGTGGAGAATTACTGATCCTAATCTTTTGTACCAAATAACTTCTGCTGCTCATCCAAGGTAATCAAAATTTAAATTTTTGATTTTTTTTTTATAATAAATTATACCTCATTTTAATAATTACTGAATCAAATTATTTTTTAGAGGAATGAGGGAGAGACTGCTTCAAAAAAATGTTTCGCGTTATGCAGATTATATTGCTCAATCTTGTAGAAACAGCAACCCATTTTGTAAGTGTAAATTTTAAATTAGTTTAGAACACTATTAAGACTGTTTTTTACAAGATTTTCAAATCAGATAAATATTTTACAACTTTTTTATACTTTTTTTTATTAGTGTTAATTAGGGCTTGCTATCCATGATCTTGAAATCGTGGAGTCATGCTTAATTTTTATTATGTAAAAATTTATAGAAAATATATATGTTTGTGTATAGAAAAGAAGCATTGCTATAGTAATATGTTTTATTTATGTTACATAAATATTTGTTTCTTGTTCAAAAATACTAGGGTCAATCAAGAATTTCATATAATCAATTGTTTTTATACTAAAGAATAAGTGTAGAACAATTAAATTAATAGTGGAACATAAGTAGGCACCTTGCTTTAAAATAATCTCATTTAAATCTGTTTTCAGTTTTTCCAGTTGTCGTTGCATATGATCATTAGAATGTGACCTTAAGTTTGTCTCCATGGTTATTTGAACCTCTTCCTTTGTTTGTAAATCCAAATCCTTGCAATAAAATTCAAATGAAGAGAAAGCATGTCTGTCCAACAAGTTAAAGTTGAGGCTATATGGAGGTTGAATGACACGGGTGACTTTTTTCTCAGCAGTCAGAAACTTTCAAGAAAGTCTCTGACTGCATCAGACACATGTGGCCTGACATTATCGTGCTGACGGAGCCTTGTGTTCCATGTTACTTTTTTTTAGCCTTTGTTGACAAAATTAGAATGCATATTCGATAGGAAAAGCATGTACACTTCTGAATTGACCAATTGTCCATTTGGAAGTACCTCAACATAGGCCTTGCCATCAAATGAGATCAAATCACCATACTTTTTGCATCAAATTGGGTCTCCTGACACGTTTTGAAGCTTCTCCACCCTTTGAAATCCAAGCGCAATTGCTACGTTTGCACCCGATTGATCTCTGGTAAACCCACTTCTCATCCACAACAATAAGAAGTCATTCGACATTCGATTCATCTCGTAGGATGGTCAGAAATTGCGCAAGTTCATCCCGATATTGTTGTTTTACTGGGGTGAGGCCTTATGGGATCCATTGTGAACAAATTGATCTTTTCATCAATTTTTTAGTGATTATTGAATAAACTGAACCAAAAGAAGTGTTTACGATATCACAAATTTGCTCTATTGTTTAAAATTTGTCTTCATTTTTGTTGATGAATGATCTCAATGTTGTCCATAGTTGTTGAGGTACTGGGTCTACCTGACTTCGATTCATCTGAACTGACTATAATCACTTATGTTTGATATAGACTACTTTGGTAGTACTTGTATACTGTTTGAATGGAAGTTGCATCCTCACCCCAGGCAGTAGTTATGAATTTGTGAGCATCAGATGGAGACTTCTGATTACGACGACAATTCTCAATTAACAATCTAATATCAACTTTGTCAATTTACATTATAGCATTAATAATTCAAATGATCTGAAATTGAAAATATTTATTTTATTAAGCATATTAGTACATAAGTTATTGTTAAGAATATCTAAAAAAAAAATTTATTGGCAAGAATATTGAAACACAAATTATACGAACTTTTTGATAATACTAATATTAAAACAATTAAGAAAAAGGTTTGTTTTTTTTAATTATATTTTTCAAATTAATGTAAAGTATTTGGGAAAAATCATTTAAAGACATGCAGAATTAGGTGAAGTTGTAGAATATAAAAAAAAGAAAGTTTATAAAATGTGAAAAAATTCTAGGAATGAAGATGACAGGCTCTTAGCTAACTGGAGGTCAAGCTTGATTATTTTTTTTACTCAATTAACTTAATTTGCACTTGAAAAATAGGTTTTTATTGTGCCTTAGATATCTTACTTTTGCAGAAAATATGTATTTTGGCATTTTATAAAATTATATTAGTTACATGAGCACAGCTTAGGACCTTTTATTTTATAATTATTTTTAACAGTTTTACAGACTGATTTTATTACCTATTAAAAAAATTCAGTAAAGTAAATTTCTAATATCAATTTAAAAAATAATAAATCTGTAAATCTTCAATTAGTGATTTGCAAATTAGTGAGTTGCTAAATGGGTGAGATCTAAATTTAGAAGACAAATGATGTTGGAGAAAAAAGTTGTTTATGAAAGATCTATCAAAAAAAAAGTTGACATTAAAAAAAGACAGATGGCTCATTTGATGTATTTAGGTGTTACAGAATTATATATTAAAATGTGTTTGATGTATTTTGGTGTTTATCAAATAATAACAGTTATTTATGCAAGAATGTCACAACAGCATGTCAGTGAATCATGGGAAATAAAGATTAATGGTGCTCAACGTCTGGAAAGAACAGAGATGATAATAAGATGAATGTGTGTTGTTACTAACCTGTGAAAGCATAATATTAATGATGATGCTAAAATGATTAAACCATGCAAAATGTGAAAAATTAGCTAATCTAACCCAAAAAATGTTAAAATCAATTTATAATTTATAAAATTAGTTTAATGAATACAATGTGTAATTATGATAACTATAATATAAAGTTTTATATAGTTTTAAATATAATAAATTATATGTAGTTTTTATTATATAATTACAATAAATTATATATAGTTTTGAATAAATAATTATAATAAATTATATACAGTTTTAATTATATAATTATAATAAATTATATTTTTATTTTTAAATATATAAATATAAAAAATTGTATATAAGTTTAATTAGATGATTATAATAAGTTATATATAGTTTTATTATATATTTAAACTAATAAATTTAAAAGAAACTAAAAATTTTTAACTAATCTAAAAAAAAAGTCCTAATAAAGGGATTCAAATTTTTTTTCATATTTGTTTTACATTTATCTATTTGTTAATATTTATTTACTGTCTATAATTTAAAAAATTTATTAAATTCTAAGAATTGCTGTTTATTTGTTTCTGTGACTTGATGACTGCATTCAAGGTTTATTGATCAACAGAGCTATCCAGTCAGGTAGGGTGAGAGAGGCGATTATTTTCCCTCACCCTTATAATACCTAAATTATAAAGGGGTGGGGAAAAAAGGAGCGCTACTAGCATCTTATACATCCACTCCATCCATTCATTATTTTTCAATGATTCACTATTTAATATAAGCATTTTTCATTGTCTTAGTTTCACTTGTATTTCCTGAAGATGAAAAAGAATCATGTAAAACTCCTACAACGAATGTCATGAACTCTTGGTTTCCACAATTAGTATATGCAAGTGATAAAGCTGTTTTGATTGAAGTAGAAGAATTAGAGGAAAAAGTTTTTTCTGCAAGTTTACAAGCAAAGGTTTTTATATTCAGTTTATTTTTATCTACTTAAAAAGACAGAGAAAAATTAGTTTGTTAAAGTAATATGATTGTTAAAACAACAATAAAAAAACATATGTATAACACATATGGCAAGCGATGCAGGCGATAAGCATTTTTTTTTTTTTTAAACAATATATAGCATATATATATTTTTATATATATATATATATATATATATATATATATATATATATATATATATATATATATATGTATATATATATATATATATATATATATATATATATATATATATATATATATATATATATATATATGTATATATATATATATATATATGTATGTATATATATATATTATATATATATATATATATATATATATATATATATATATATATATCTGCATCAAGTCTACTAGAGCAATATTCTTAGTTGGAAATTGGTTGCCATGGGGCCATCTATAAATTCTGTACGCAGGTATGGGGAGGAGGGTCACTCAAAAACATACCAGTGCATATAAGGGAAAGAGTTGGCGGTTTTTAGTTTAAATTTTTTCATGTGAAGTCTGTTAAATCAGACAAAATAGCTTTGGTTTTTTAGTTAATGCATTTGTCTATCTACCAGAAAAAGTATGTTATTTCAGCTTTGATATTAAATAAAAACAATGAAATATCGTCTTTTACTAAAAGTTGACAACATAACTTTGTTTCCCTTTGAAGTTGAATTAACATGCCTGATTGTGAAAAATAATAGAACTTTTTTAAATTTGATTTAAAATAAATAATAGTTAAAAATAAAAATAAAAGATCAAGAATATTTTTTTTATTTAAAAAAGATGTGAAAAATAATAAAGCAAAAGAATCTACGTTTTTACAAATTCCTGGGGATTAAAACTTTTGATTTTTCAAAATTTTATCAAGTTTTAATTTTTAAAATAAATTTTCTATTCTCATTAGGACGGACATGTTTTCAAAATAGTTAACATTCCATTCTATCTGTTTGCAGTAATGACTTCATAACTTTCCATTCATTGTTTGTACAAAACAGAAAACTGCTCTCTAATTTAAACTGAATGCATGATTTAATTATTATTAAGTAAATAATTTTTTATATACTCGATTATATACTTAATAAATGTATAATAGACTTGTATAAAATACTTGTACTAGTATAATATATATTAGTGTAATTATATACATATATATATTCAGGGTCTGAAATAAATGCTGGACATAGAACATTGTCCAGCACATGTCCAGTAAAAAACTACATCTATCTGTCATTTTGTCTAGAAATTAAATGCACATAAAACATATGTTTTATGTGCATTTAATTTCAAATCATTTTAGTTGTTCCAAAATTATTAATAAGTTCAGTATTGTATATAAACTTTATTTTTTGAACTTTTAATTTTTTATACGAAACAAAATTGAAGTTTAACACAAAGCTACATTAATAAATTACGTCATTTTTTTTGAGTTAATTCTTTTTTTAAAAGACACCAAAGCATTATATTTTTTTGAATTAAGGATTAGTCCGGTTTTTATCATTTATATTAAAATGTTGCAATTAGTTATTAATTTAAATTTATAGTTAAGTATTTTTATTTCTTTTAAATTCGATGGTTTTTATAAATTTCAATTAAATATTTTAGCTTTTAAAATTCCTTTTAAATTTGTTTTATAAAAATTTTAATGTCATAGTTATTTTAATGCTTATAGAAACCAGTACTTTTAATTACACTATTAAATTTGAGTTGTTACATAACATTTGTTTTTGCGCTAAAAGTTTTCGCTATTAAAAGTGTTTATAAAATTAATCCTAGAAAAAGTTTAAAAAGATTTATAAAAAAAAAATACATATTTATATAAATGTAAATACCTATATTACACTTTTATAATTTAAATAAAATGCGTTTATTGTAAACATTGGAATTAATTTGTAACTTTATTTAATTGAGTAATAAGTAATATTAAATAAAGTAATAACTTAATAATTTATGTATTTAATATATATTTACATAGTAATTGATGTATTTAATAATTTTGTATTGTACTTTTTTTTTACATATTTAGTTATGTATTTAATAATTCCAGAATTTATGTATTTAATAATTTACAAAGCATTTTGCATAATGTAAAGTTTTAAAAAATGTAGTATAAATATAATTTCCTTTTTAAATTTTAGTTTTTTGAGCTTTTTTTGAGATTTTTCTATATCTTTAAGATTTTCTTTTTGATAGATAATTTATTATAAAAATTTTCTTTTTATTTTCAGCGCATTTTAAAACGCCTAGAGTTGTCAATACAAAATGCGTGGTGAAGTTGTAAAAAAAAAATATTTTAAGCGTGTTCAAGAATGGCGTTTGATCGGCCTTTTTAATTTTTATTGGAAATGGCCGGCAAACTTGAGTCTTTACCGGACTAATAGTCCGGTAGAAAAAAGTTCGTTATTTTGAACCCTGAATATTAGGGTTGTCCTGGATTAGAATGAAGTGTCAAAACATTATGAAGTGAAGTTTTTCCCATTATACTATTAAAAACATGTCTAAAAATAATTTTTACAGATTTTTGATAAGTGATCCTGAGGTCCCTCAAGGCCTCCATATTTGAACCTCATTTTTAGAGCAAAAATTAAAATCTTTTACATAATACAATGTTATACAATTCTATAAATATAACAACATAATTTAAACAAAATTATGCTTAATATAAAGGTATTCAGATCTTCAAAAAAAAATAAGTTTATGTTACATTTAGCATTTCAAATTTTTTAATCAATTTTGTGACCAAATATAAGAAAAAGCAAAAGAATTTACAGTCTTTACTTGAAAAATTAGGAATTTACTTAAAAAGTGTTTAATCTCTTATACTCAACACACTCATATAGTACTTAGTAATACACTACAGTTTCACAAATTTAGTGTCTTTTTATCAAAACTGGAATATAACTTTCTATGCTGCTCGACACCCTGCAACAACCATGCCCTTTGCTCAATATCAGTTGTAATGATTGTAGCAAAATCCGAGATCAACTTGACACCAGGCTCCACTGCATTGTTGACAACTTTAACTATACAAACAAATTGTTCTGCAACTCTAAAAGCCTCCACCGCTCCACTGGTTTGGAAAGCCAACCAGTGCTCACTTTTAAAATGTGGAACAACGAATGAGATTCAGGCCCAATCAATCTTGTCAAAGTTATATCATGACCAATTTTTTTGAAAACTGGGCGGAGGTTTTCTGGTATTGGAGTCAAAAGCAATTGATCCGCTATTTATTTATTTAGTGCATGTGTCAACAAAAGATGTTTACTAAATAAAGCAAGCGGCATAGCTTTTTTGACAAGTACTATTGATAATTATGGAGTTTGTTAATCACAACATCAGCAATATCTTTGACAACGCTTCTAAAATCAATCATGTCATGAATAAACTGGAGGTTGTTCATAGATGCATCCGCTCCCCATGATGTTTTCATCCATGCAGGAGTGACGAAATGAGCCAAAAATCTATTCATACACATGTGTTTAGCAACCATGTCATCATAATACCGTATCTGTTTGGAAAACATATACATCTTTCTAGCATATATATATATATATATATATATATATATATATATATATATATATATATATATATATATATATATATATATATATGTGTTGGTTATCCAACATGCTTGATGCATCACCCCTGGTTTGAGATGCATCACCCCTGGTTTGAGTGGGCGCCACATGGGGTAGTTTCACCCAAGAATAATCAGATTGTTTTCAGCAGATTTACGATAATCACCTTTTAGAAAAGTTGTTGAATCCTTCAATAGATAGCATGTCTGTAAGTTCTTTGACAACTTGTGTTTTTTGTTTAACAGCCGTTAGTTTTCAGTTTTCAGAAAACTAACGGTTGTTAAACATAAAACACAAGTTCAAGTTCAAGCAATTCATACATATGTATGAATTGCTTGAACTTTATCTAAGTTTGACCATACAACTTTAAATTTTGCAAACAGTTTGTTTTCCGGGCCTAAAATGTCATTAAATAATAATTTCCATACAGCACTAACAACAAATTTTAAAATGTGATGATGAGAAGTTAGATAGAGTAACTATTTATTAGACTTGCTTCCATTAAGTTAGCAGCTCCTTTATGTATACCACTATTGCTGGCTGTTAAATCAGATCAGGCAGAGAAGCTACATCTAATTATATATAATAGCTAGAGAAGGTACATCTAATTATTTCCCTTCTTTGTACCCAGTAAGCAGACACTATTTGGCCCAATAGCGAACCAGGCTCGGCTGCCAAGCTGTACCAGGCCTGGCACGCTGGGGCCGTGCCAGCGCCGGGTTGCTCATTGGTTTTTTCAAAGAACCAGTATACGCAAGCCAGTGTTGGCGCAGCAATGTTTTGCTAGCCGCAAGCCAGCATTGATTCAATTTAGGGCCAATGCTGGCAATCAGCGAACGTTGTACTAAACGCCCACTATACAAAATTGTCCAATTAAACTACATTTTTCATCAATTTTTACTAATTTTACTCATTTTATATATATATATATATATATATATATATATATATATATATATATATATATATATATATATATATATATATATATATATATATATATATATATATTTTAATTATTATATATATATATATATATATATATATATTTTAATTATTATATATATATATATATATATATTTTAATTATTATATATATATATATATATATATATTTTAATTATTATATATATATATATATATATATATATATATATATATTTATTTATATATATATGCATATATATATATATATAAATTTTATCTAATTATATAAAAATAATTATTATATCTGTTATGTTTGTCAGTTATGTTTTGTTTTTTTCTACTTTTTGTTAAAATAGACATAAGTTAAAAACAAAAAACAATTATTGAATTCATATAATATATTTTTTGTTAATAATTTACAAGTTAATAAATTTACATTAAAAATATATAAAAAATA